AAAAATGACCTGCAGGACAAAAGCTGTGTGCTATTCATATTCGCTGATCGTACCTTCCCCCTCGCCCCTCCCATAACGAACAAAGTTCTCGGTCCCATTTTTCCTCAGTTTTCCCATCCACCATTTTGCCATGGTATTCTTCCCTGCCGACACCCCCGCCCTCTCCAATCATCGCGCGGGCAGCTATGGACCGAGCCAATCAGCGTGTGGGCAGCACGATTGCCAGGTCTCCAGATTTCAACTGGAGACTCCAGTTTTCGGGACCAATCTCCAGTTCTCCAGCAGACGGGAAAAATCTCCAGTTTTTCGCTCGCGTGGAGTATTTATTAATTGCATATTTAAATTTCGTGGAAAGTAAAAGAAAGTCTATGATTATGTTCGGAGTTTGTTATTTTACGAATAATAAAAAAGTGTGTAATTCTGTTCGCACTGTATGTAATCTTGTAATAATAATAAAAAAGTCTCTGTGATTGTGTTGACACTTTACGTTGGTCAAATATTAATAACAAAAAGAAAGTTTGCAACAGTAGTCTCAAAACACGAATTAACCCTGCACCTTTTTTTCTCTTTTTTTCAATGAAACAATCGGCCAGCCTCCAGTCGAAATATGAAATCTCCAGCGCACGGACCTTCGGGCCCCAGCTGTACAGTGCTCAGAATCTGACAACCGTAGCTGGGCAGCTATGGACCGAGCCAATCAAAACGCGACATTTAATTACCTCGTTATCCCACCCTCACGTCACCGGCCAATCAGAGCACACCATTTCTCCAGACAGACCCGTCTAGGCCACGCCCACCTGGCGACGGAGGTGGAATGGAGGGGGTTTGTTTTGACGGCCCATAGCTGCCCACTTACTTCTCATAAGGATGTCTTCCGACGTACGTATTCGAGCGGGGTATTCTTTTATTTATTGTCTGGCATGCAGAGACATCTCTGCATGCAAAAGAAGAAATGGAGGAAATCGTTTTTGGACTTTTTAGAAAATTTTAAGTTGTCCCAAGGATGGTTCTTCGCCCATAAGGGTGCCTTCCAATGCATGTATTCGAGCGGGGTGTTTTTTATTTGATGTCTGGCATGCAGAGGTACCTCTGTGTAAAAGCAGAAATGGGACAAATCATTTTGACAAAAATCGCTCCAAGAACGTTCCAAACTTCAATCAGCTTACATTATATATAATATTAAATTCCTATTATATTATATTGCTATACTGATATTATATACAGGGTGTCCCATTTTAAATGACAACCTCAAATTTCTCTTGAATAGTGCATTTTAGAGAAATATGTTTCAAATAAATGTTTTGTGACTTCGAGGGGGACATAAAATGGTATCATTGGTTTGACCTTGGGTGGCGTTGTCAAGGTCAGGGCAAGGTCACTTCGAATTTTTTAAATGGAACCTTCCATTTTTCATTATATATTCTTGTAACTTACCTTGAGAGCTTTTCAAAACACTATAATAAAATATTTTTTCATTAAATACTTTGCGAGTTATAAGGCTTGAAAGTTATAGTACCGTCGGCACTAACATTACCCAAGATGTCCGACCGATGGCTAAAACCTCTTGAATGTTGTTCAGGATCATGGCCTGGATAACATTTATCAAGATCAAGAACATTGGAAGTTGTAATTCTTATTTTCATTTTTACGTACAAATGAATTTTTAGTGCAAAAATGAAAATAAGAAGAACAGCCTCCAATGACTTTGATCTCGAAAAATGTTATCCAGGTCATGATCCTTAACAAAATTCTTGAGGTTTTAGCCGTCGGTCGGACACCTTGGGTAATGCTAATGCCGGCGGTACTGTAACTTGTAAGCCTTATAACTCGAGAAGTACTTAATGAAAATGGATTTAATTATAGTGTTTTGAAAAGCTCTCAAGGTAAGTTACAAGAATATATAATGAAAAATGGAAGGTTCCATTTAAAAAATTCGAAGTGACCTTGCCCTGACCTTGACAACGCCACCCAAGGTCAAACCAATGATACCATTTTATGTCAACCTCGAAGTCACAAAACATTTGTTTGAAATATTTTTCTCTAAAATGCACTATTCAAGAGAAATTTGAAGTTGTTTAAAATGGGACACCGTGTATATTGTTGCGCCCGTACCGACACCGTAGATCGCCACTCGTGAAGTGCTGAAAGTCACGTTGCCCAGCGACACGTGTCTCTGAAATTCAACAAGATCGACAGATTTGGACGTGAGCCGTCGCTGCGCTCGGACGTGTCTCCCAATCCGCTAATCTTGTTTTCAATCGTGTATTCTGAGCTTGACGTGTGCGTGCGTGTGTGCGTGTGTTCATCTCGTAATAAACTCTTCTTGTTTTTCTTTACCAGGTATGTAAATATGAAACCGGAATTTTTTAATAGAAAATACAAGTTTATTGCATGAAAATGATAAAAAATATTTTATTTGAAGTATTGCCCATCGCTAGCTATACATTTTTCCCATCTGTCTGACAATTTGTGGATGCCACGCCAAAAAAATTGTTGCTCTTTTGAGCCAAACCAGTCATCTAGCCATTTTCGTACATCTTCGTAAGAAGTGAAGCGCTGCTGAGCAAGTGCGTGTCCCATCGACATATGTAAATAAGTAGTAATCGGACGGAGCCAAGTCTGGTGAGTAAGCCGCATGCGAAAGTATTTCCCAATCAAACGCCTCAATCGTTTCCTCGACCAGTTTTGCTGTGTGTGATGGTGCATTATCATGAAGCAAAATCACTTTGTGTTGCTTTTTTTGATATTCCAGTCGTTTTTCACGCAAAGCTTGATTCAAATTGATCATTTGTTGTCGGTAGCATTCAGTATTAACGGTTTCGCCAGGTTTTAGCAGCTCATAATAGATCACACCTTTCTGATCCGACCAAACACAGAGCATTGTCTTCCGTCCGTAGCGATTTGGCCTTGCAGTCGATGTCGATGGTTCGCCTGGAGTTACCCATGATCTTTTACGCTTAGGAATCTCAAAATATATCCACTTTTCATCGCCAGTCACAATTCGATGGAGAAATGACTTTCTTTTGTACCTGGCGAGCAGCATTTCGCAAATGGTTTTTCGGTTTTCCTACTGTCTTTCATTAAGTTCATGTGGAACCCATTTTCCCATCTTCTGGATCTTTCCAATGGATTTAAAACGTATGGAGACGGCTTCTCGTGTCACATTCAATTGATCCGCGAGTTGTTGTTGAGTTTGAGCGTCACCCTCATCCAATAATGCTTGCAATTCGCTGTCTTCAAACTTTTTCGGTGGTTTTCCACGTTCTTTGTTTGTCACGTCAAAATTGCCACTTTTGAATTTTTTCCATTCCACTCAAAGCACTGTGATTTACCAAGAGCAGGCTCACCGTAAGCTTCGACAAGCATTCGATGCGATTCTGCATCAGTTTTCTTCAAATGGTAAC